TCTATTCTATTCTATTCTATTCTATTCTATTCTATTCTATTCTATTCCATTCCATTCCCATTCCCATTCCCATTCCCATTCCTATTCCTATTCCTATTCAAATCTAAGTGCTATTGCTATTTAGAGCAGGGTTATTCAACCTTCAAAACTTTAAGCCTTGTGGACTTCAACTCCCAGAATTCTCCAGCCAGTGTGGCTGGTTGGGGAATTCTGGGAGTCGAAGTCCACAAATGTTCGAACGTGTCAAAATTGGATACCTCTGTTTTAGACACTCTGTGCCTAAACTGCCCTGTCTGAGGCTGGCATTCCAGAGTTGGTCTTGTGAACCTGGAGCAGGGGTGTTAAACTCGAAGTTCACGGGCCACATCTGGCCCGCAATGTGGTTGGATCCGGCCATTGGGGGCTGTCCTGGAAAACGTAAGGGGCCAGCCCACATTGCTTTGGCCCGGTCTGCCCAATGTGAAGAGGAAACATGCCAGTAGTTTTGGGGAGCGGCATCTAGTCAGCCACACTCCCCCCCACCTCTGAGGTGAAATTGAGTTTTGACGCCCCTGACCTAGAGACTAGCAGTGTTGGGGAGAAGAAAAAAAAAACCCTTCAATTTCTCTGAAGTGCATCTTTATCTGAAGTGAGGATGAAAAAGTTGAAAGCTGCTCTTCCCAACAGTCGTTATCTCGACGGCTCTTTCTCCGTACTACGAGCGTGAAGGAAACTGCTGATAAAGAATATTTGGGTCAGATCCAGAGCTTCCATTTTTTTTTCTTCTTCTTCTTCTTTGGGGGCTGATTTTACTCCTTTTTGTTATTCCTTCTGTTGAGATCGGTGCTTTTTTCTGCTCCTGGGGGAAAAAAAATAGACTTTTTTCAATCACAAAGGGGAATTCTCCCGCAGCTTTTGGGATGTTAAAAAAAACAAACGACTCTACAAAAGCTTTTGAACAGATGAAAAGCATGAAGCTGAACCTGGAATGCCCCGAACATTTAACCTTATCAGGAAAACTGAGGTTGATCATCCTGTAAAATGGCCCCAGTCGTAGTAAAAAACAACAAGCAGAAAGCAGAAGAAATGCAAAATGGGCAGCAGGAATGAAGTTGTACCTCATCAGATACAAGGACAGATTAACAGAGTTGGAAGGGACCTTGTAGGTCATCTATCCAACCCCACCCCAAGCAGACCCTACACCATTTTTGACAGATGACAGTCCAGTCTCTTCTTGAAAGCTTCCAGTAATGAAGCTTTCACAACTTCCGAAGGCAACGTCTGTTCCATTCGTTGGTTGTTTTCACTGTCAAAAAATTTCTCCTTATTTCTAGGTTGAATCTCTCCTTGATCAGTTTCCATCATTCCTTGTCCTGGTCTTGGAAAATAGCTTGACCCCTTCCTCCTCTCTGTGGCAGCCCCTCAAATATTGGGATATGCTCTCCTGTCTCCCCTGGTCCTTCTCTTTACTAGACTAGCCAAGCCCAGTTCCTGCAACCGTTCATCGTATGTTTTAGCCTCCAGTCCGCTAATCATCCTGGTTGTTCTTCTCTGCACTTTTTCTAGAGTCTCAACATCTTTTTATAGTGTGGTGACCAAAACCGGATACAGGTGTGGTCTTTCTAAGGCTTTATAGAGTGGTATTAGTTACCTCCCTTGATGTTGAAGTGCAGAGATCTCAAATTGCGTGCAAAAAGTAAAATATGGAAGTGTATTTTTGCAGTTGCGTGTGTAATGGTCTTAATAATAGTGTGGTGACCAAAACTGCTTTCCAGCTGACAAGCTCAGGATCTTTAACCGCTGAGCCATCATGACCCTGGGCAAAGCATTGGACACTTTTTTTAAATTGGATGGCTTTTGCGTTGCATGCTTTAAAAACGAACTCCCGTTGTGTCAAGTGGTGTAAACTGAAGTGCTTTGTGATTGGCAACTTTGTTTTGGGCAGTTGTTTCAAAATCTGGTTTTGCACATGTGTGAGAGTTCACAGCTACTTTGCTTTTTCAGGGGCTCGAAGAGAGGAAGGAGTCCTTCTCTTATTAATCACAGCACACATCTTTTTAAATTGGATGCCAAATCCTCGGTCCATTGACCAGCACTGGGGCAAGATAAATTTTGGGCTCATTTGTGGTTGTAAGCTGAGGACTACCTGTGAGGAGTATTTGGGATGCTTTAACTTAAAAGCTTTGAGGACCATAGATTTGGTTCTCTTTCCCTGTTTATTTTTTTAGGCATTTTTTTTATACCAGACTTGTGTCTTTTAACATTGACTTGAGTGGTTCACCCTGCGGTGGAAACTTACTTCAAATCTCGCTGAACTTTGTAAGATATTACAAATTGGTACTATTATTAGAGGCAGTCCTGGACTTATGACCACAATTGGGGATAGAACGTCTCTCACTAAGCAAGGTGGTTGTTTAGTGAGTTGCACCCAATTTTATGACCCTGTTTGCTGCGGTCGGGAAGCGAATCGCCATCCGCGGCTGTGAGGCGATCACACAGATGTTAAGGGATTCTGGCGTCCGTCCTCATCGACTTTGCTTGTCGGAAGCTGGTGGCATATGGCAATTGCATGACCTCGAGACACTGCAACCATAATAAATACATAATAATAAACCATAATAAATAAGAGTGGTGCGGTGGCCTAGAAATGGAGCTCTCGCCTCATGATATGAAGGCTGTGAGTTCGATCCTAAGTAGAGGCAGATATTTCCTTCTCTGGACACAATGAGAATATATCTGCTGAACAAAACTCTGTATTGGAGACAGGAAGGGCATCCGGCCAGTAAACACTCAGCTCCATTCAGTTGCCCAGGCTCCACCCTGCAAGGGATTATGGGGTCATAAAAAGGAGATGAAACCATAATAAAAACGTGCCAAGTTGCCAAGCGTCCAAATTTTGATCACATGACTATTTTTAGACTGCAGCAGTCATAAGTGGGAGGACCAATTAAACGTCCTCTGTTAACAAAAACAAACACAAAAATCGCCTGTTGTTTTGCAGTTGGTTAAGGGACGCCTGCGGTCAGCTGATCCAGAGCGGTTATGAGACCTCAAGTAAAGTCTGGAGCGGAAGTCAAATGGTGACCAATTTCCACGAAATGGGAATAACGGATGCATCGTTTCCCATTTTACAGGTAGGAATTTTTAACCCTACATGAAAATCATGTTTGAAGAGGCCATCTTCAAAATTCTTTGGAACTCAATGGTAAAAATACAACACGGGTAGTCCTTGACTTACAACTGTTCGTTTAGTGACCGTTCAAAGTTACAACAGCACTAAAAAAATGTGACATGACGGTGTTTCATAGTTACGACAGAGGTGGGATTCAGCAGGTTCTGACCAGTTTTGGAGAACCGGTAGCGGAAAATTTTAGTAGTTTGGAGAACTGGCAAATCCCACCTCTGACTGGCCCCGCCCCCATCTCTTCTCTGCCTCCCATCGAGCCCCAGCTGATTGGCTGGGTCTTCTTTGGTTGCCCTGCACAGGAGAATGGAGCTGGAAAGCAGGTTAGTGGGGTGGGGAGGGAATGGGGATTTTGCAGTAACCTTCCCCTGCCACACCCACCAAGCCATGTGCACAGAACCGGTAGTAAAAATATTTGAAACCCACCAAGTTACGACCTTTGCAGCATCCCCGTGATCACATGATCAGAATTCAGATGCTTGGCCACTGGCATGTACTTATGACAGTTACAGTGTCCCGGGGTCATGTGATCCCCTTTTGTGACCTTCTGATAAGCAACGTCAATGGGGAAGCCAGACTCGCTTAATAACCAGGTTACTAACTTGTCAACTGCAGTGATTCTCTTAACAGCTATGGCAAGAAAAGATTTAACAAATGTCTCACTTAACAACATCAATTTTGGGCTCAATTGTGGTTGTGAGTCAAGGACTACCTGTACGAACATTCATCTGGCTAAAACAAACTTACCCAATATTCTTATGTTGTTTGGATTTTGCTCTGTGGTCACCTAGTAATATTTACAAATACCTGAAGGCGGTGAACATATGTAATATTCCTTCCTCCTTCTATTTTCCCCAAAACAACAACCCTGTGAGGAGAGAGAGAGAGAGAGAGAGAGAAGGGAGACGGGTCCAAAGTCACCCAGCTAAGATGGACTTTCATGGCGAAGATGGACTTGAATTTAAGTCTTCTGGTTGTAGGGTTGAACTGTGGGGTCCTTGATGCTCTTTGACCTTGGTTGTTTTCCTGCAGATGTTTCCTTACCCAACTAGGTGACATCAATACTAAAAGGGAATGGGGTTACTCTCTGCTGATATACTAGCAACCAGCCCTGTAGGAGTATTCTTCGAAAGGGTTGGCGGACCAAAACACCTCCTTTCTGAATGCACAATTGCGCGATTCTTGTTGTTTTGAATACAGTGGAAACACAGAAGTCCCATCCCCATGGAATAATTATGTGGGTTCTTTAAAGTCCCTGTTTACCTTAGAAAGGAAAGGAAAGGAAAGGAAAGGAAAGGAACGGAACGGAAAGGAAAGGAACGGAACAGAACAGAACAGAACAGAATAGAATAGAATCTTTATTGGGAATGGAATGGAATGGAATGGAATAGAATATTGGAGCGTAGAATAGAATAGAATAAGAATAGAATAGAATAGAATAGAATAGAATATGAATAGAATAGGAGATAGAATAG